GCACCCAGTGTGGGGCTTGAACTCACAAACCCCGAGATCAAGAGTCACACGCTCTACTGACTTGAATCAGCCAGGCTCACCAGTTTTATCCACAATATTAAGTCAGTGGCTCAGATGGTTTGAAGGGGGGTGAATTTGGAGCCAAGAGACCCACTGGATCCTTGCTGTGCCTCCAGCCCAGGCTGCTCACCCTTCTGGATCCCGGTGATGGCCGTCAAGCTCTGGAGCTGCCCCAGGTCTCCAGCTATTGGATAATAATTATGGGCAGCCTGGCAGTGGTGCAAAATCATGAATTCCGAATAAAATCTCGATTTAGCTCCCTATTCCGTCCAGCCTAAAATACAGTTGGTTTCTTTTTATGATAATGATGAAATAAAACATCGAAATACAGCTGCCCGGGAGAACCTTTACTGTCATTTGAGCTACCAGTGGTAACTGTAAATTATTCCTCACTGCTGTCCCCAGATTTTTGGGAGCAAAGGATGGGCCTTTTAAATTTGTTCTATTACATGCTTTTAACAAAGGAAAAAAATGGCTTTCCAAAACCTCTGAACACTGCTGCAGTAAATGGTTTATCACTTAAGGAACAGCAGTGTATATAAAAATGTGGGAGGTCTGAGACCATGTTCAAAAAATTAATAAATCTCATTATTTATTTACAGTAAATATATAAATGGAGCCAGTGCATATTTGCCCATTTTTGTGAAAAGGTCAAAAGCCATGAGCAGCCCTGAGAAAAGACCTAAGTGTATAATTTCTTAAGCAAATTGACCATGTGCCCCATGTGAAAGCAAACATGTTTCTTAGTACGCCTTATATTCTCTGCTCATGACAGCTGAGATTCAGCCAGCAGTGTTGTTTTCTTCCTTAATATCTGAAATATTAAGGGAAAAAAATAACACTGAACTGAACAGGAAGTCGTGGCACATTTTGGCCAATGCTAATAGTCTAAATTTAACTAACTAAATGGATTACAGTATTTTTATCTTTAAACCCATTAGGATTTAGAAGCATCGGGCTGCAGTTCAGTTTCTAAATTATTGTTTTCTTTATTTAGAAACTGCAACTCTGACCTTTTGGGCAATCCAGTTTTACTTCCATAGGACATTTGGAGGGGGCGTGTAAAAAGCCAGTGAAGTCATACTCAAGAGGTACATACATAGGCCTGTTTGGATTTATTTGGGGAGATTCCCAAGGGTTTGTCAAAGAAATTCCAAAGTTTAAATTCAGCCTTTCTGATCGACAGTGAAAGTGGTCTAGATCTTATTCAAAGATGTCTGTGATTTACAGCCTCGGGTGATTGTGGTCATTCTGGACTTTTTAAAAATATTTTCTCTAAATTCTATAACTGACTCATTAAAAAAAAAAAAATCCTCTGAACTTCCCCCTGCCGTACAGTCGTGTTGGTGTAAGATGCAGTGTTGTGTTCTTAGAATGATAACTTTAATTTAATTGCAAGATACAAGCTTATGGTGTGGCTTGGGAAGGAAGTACCTCTTGAAGGTAATAGTCACTATTTTTAGACTGACTTAAACAGAGGGAGAAAGAGTGATCTTTATGATCTTCATTTAGCCTTAGACTAGGAGATGCACTCTCTAAAATATCTAGTTACTTACTGGTTACTCTGGATAAGTTTTCGAAAGCACTTTTAAAGATATTTTTAAAAATGAATTTGTAATGAGTAACTGACTCAATGCTAGTTTTAGAGAAAGATTCCTTCTAATTCCATTGCAAAATAAACATAACAGCTTACTAAACAAAAATAGATTTTCCATAGTAAAACTTGGTCAGAACAATGGCACATTCCTGGGCCCGGGATTCAAAAGTGGGTATTAATTCAAAGCAGCTGGATGCTGGGATTGAGAACAAGACTGTCCTGTCTTCCTGCCTCAGCCGTGCAGAATTTGATGTGCGACAATATTTTACTGCTTTTAAGTGCTTCTCTATCCTGTTAGTGAGAGAGAGGGGGTGGAGGGAGAGAAAGACTGTAGGAAAATTCCTACAAAGACTGTATAGGAATACATACACTTTGCAACCTTATGTCCACATTTTTGCATTCAAGAAAAACATGCCTTTGGGCATGTTTCTTTGGGCATCTCCTCTCTGGGGAGAGATCATGCTTCTTTAACATAAAAGGTAGACCCATTCCCTCTGATTGTCTGATTTGTTTTCTTCTACTCAGCTAACTTTCCAGGGCTGGAGTTTTATACTTTATTCCTGATTTCAGCTTCTTCCACAGTTCCCCTCTAGTGGTCCCTAGTTAGGTTTTGGGATCACTGTAGATAAAATTTGTAAAGGGCATCGTGAAACTATTATGAGTTGATATGATAACGAAAGCAATTATATAACCCAAGTGAACACATTATTATTAGAGATTTAGGGGAACTGAGAGGAGAGGATCGTTGCCACTTCCAACCAGATGGTAGTGGGGTACCTCCAGCAGGGCGCCCCAGTTCTCATGAGTAAAACATTTCATGGTTCGTACGATGGGTTTATTGTCAGGAAGCTTGTATCTATCTGCTCATGGGGCTGTGTGTGTGTGTGTGTGTACATGTCCATATGTACATACCTACACGTGCATAATGACATTTAGCTCTCTGTTTCTGAGGAATGTTTGTAAACGAAATAGAGAATTTTTTAGAAATTTGAGGTCTACCTGGGAGTTTCCTTGGGTTTTTTTTTCATATTCATAACAAAGTGATACATGATAAAACTCTAAGTAATTGAAAGAGTTAAAAGGTTTTTTGTGTTGGAAGCATTAGACGAACAGATGGTATGCACGTAGGTGGGAAAGCTATTATTTAAACAGAGGAGGGCTAGTGTATACTGGAAGGGCATAGATATTTCAGGGTAGCTGGGGACTTAACATTGTGGGGGCCAGTTTAATATATTTACTAGTGGACACAGCAGAAGCGGAAGCCAGAGCATATGGTCAGGAAGGGAGTTAACAGGCTGCCGACAAAGAGGAAGAATATGGCCGTTGAAGTAACCAAGGGGAGATGAGAAGTGGATAAAAATGGTTTTGAGATCGCTAAAGGCCTTGAGAACCTAAAAGAACCTCAGGTGATAGGGAAATCAGTTTGGCAATATTTATATTGTTAACCTTTGTCTGAAAAGTGTTTGAGAAGAGAATGAAGGAGGCAGCTCTGAATGACCATGCTGGGCTTTCACCAACACGCCGATGAGTGAAATGTGTCAAGGAAGTGAAAATCAGTTGAAGCCTCCAAGTCACAGAGGCAGGAAACCATAAAGAACACCAAGATGCGGAAAATCTGATAGTAGATGCTACCGATGATCAAACAGAAAGTGGGGCGTTGACTTTACTTTTGAATGTGTCCGTGTTCTTTTTTGTCCATTTAAAAAACGAGTGGGTTTAGTAAAACAAAACAAAAAACACACAAAGAAACAAAAAGTTCCCGTAGTTATGTTGGAACAAGGTCCTTTTCCTGTTGTGTTTTTGGCTTGGTATGGTAGCTGGCCAAGTCACCTGCCGGCCAAGCCACTCTTCATCTGACAGGGGGTGGTTTTTGCCCTGCGTGAACTTCAAACTGTGTTAGAGTTTCATGAGGTCATATCTCTCAAGACATCTCCAAAGTGCTAGATGAATCCAAGGTGGGATCTCCAGCGTAACCATCCGTGGTATTTGTGGATGATTTCAGAGTTTACAGGCATTCTTGTTCAAGCTTTAAAATCAATTCTGCAGGGGCGCCTGGCTGGCTCGGTCACTGGAGCATGTGACTCTTGATCTCGGGGTCATGAGTTCAAGCCCCACGTTGGGTGTGGAGCCTACTTAATTAAAAAAAAATAATAAAATAAAATCGATTCTGCAATTCGTCAACAATTGCCCCTTTCGTGTGGGTGTGTGATTAATCAAAATATGAATTAGAGAGAGAAACAAATGTATGAATTTTGTTATTGATTATCTAGGAGAAGATCAATGCAGGAAAACACAAAATAGCACATACTCATACACAAACAAAAAACACAAAGAGGGCGCCATATTTACTACTTCTTTAAACTGTATACTAAAAGTAAACATCTGGGTGCCTCCCTGGGTCATTCGTGGAGCCTGCGACTCTTGATCTCTGGGTTCAAGCCCCATGTTGAGTGTAGAGATTACTTAAAAAAATAAAAATAGGAACACCTGGATGGCTCAGTTGTTTAAGTATCCACCTTTGGCTCAGGTCATGATCCCAGTTCTGCACTGGGCTCCCTGCTCAGCAGGGAGCCTGCTTTTCCCTCTGCCTGCTTCTCCCTCGGCTTGTGCTCTCTCCCTCTCTGGTAAGTAAATAAATAACATCTTTTTAAAAAATAAATAAATAAAAATAATAATAAACATCATGGAAGTGTTGGAAAGGTCCATATAGATCACGGTTCCTATGCCTTTGTAATTCATGAACTCCATTGAGAATTGGATGAAAAAATTTATGGATTGGGGTGACTGGGTGGCTCAGTTGGTTAAGTGTCTGCCTTTGGCCCAGGTCATGATCTCAGGGTCCTGGGATCAAGCCCCTCATGAGGCTCTCTGCTCAGCGGGGAGCCTGCTTCTCCCTCTCCCTCTATGCTCTCTCTCTCTCTCAAATAATAAAATCTTAAAAAAATTTTATGGATTCCTCCATCCCCTCCTTAAGAAAAAAAACTATGCATACTATATAAAATATATGTACTATTATAAAAATATATGAGCATAGATTCCCACAAGGGCCATCTAGGTAACATAAATATGTGAATTGGGCCAAGTGCAGACAATAAAGAATAGGGACACTTGTGTCAAACTAGAAAGTAATGCCAAGTTAAGACAATGGAGAATGGTAGGGTTTGTGAAAAACTAGGATGCACATCCTTACCTAAACTAAATTCAAATTCTAAACAATTTCTAGAAAATAACACCTGCAAAATATAACACATTTGAGGTAAATTTGACTGCAAACCCCTCCAGTTTGCAATTCTAGGCTCTTATTATATCTAAACATGGGGGTATTCTCATTTTTTGCCCCAAGGCGCGACAGCAAGCTCAAGTACGTCACCAAATGGCAGAGGACAGCAAAGCAGATTACTCATCAATTCTCCAGAAATTCAACCACGAGCAGCATGAATATTACCATACTCACATCCCCAACATATTTCAGGTAAGTAATTCAGGCTTCTCAGATTGGCTTTGCCTTTAGAGACACATGGCTTTGGAATCATGATTGCTGGGCTTATACTGAGTATTTACAGAATTCTAAATTTCCTCAAACTGAAGTCACTTTTGAAAGCATCCAGGGAGCGCCTGGGTGGCTCAGTCGGTTAAGCGCTTGACTCTCGATCTCAGGGTCATGAGTTCAAGCCCTGCGTTGTGCTCTGCTCTGGGCATGGAGCTACTTTAAAAAAAAAAAGGAGATATATATCTATATATAGATATATATATAGATATATATCTCAAGCATTGACTGGCAATAAGATGAAATATAATATTAATCTCAAGGTTAATCAGTGACCTTTGCAGATGTCCTCAGTTTGCACCTGCAGCCTTTCTTTGCTAGTCTTAGAAGTACAGTTCTTAGATTAGCACCCTCTTTGCTAAAAGGACCGTTCAGATTATAAAATGCCAACTTAATTTTAGGAGCTCCTAGCAGAATTCATACGGTTGTAGAATTTGAACAAATGACAGTCCTTTTCTTTGGATTGTTTCTCTTTTGGCTACTTTAGGTTGTCAGAAATGGCATGAGAAAAGTTGTAGACGTGTTCTCCCACTTTGGGAATCTTTTACAACTTGTGAACTGGGGTCCAGCTGTAGAAAAAATAACAAGTATCTGCTTATTCATGTCTACACACACAGGAAACAAGAGCCTCCAGCTTATAGACGGAAGATACACAGTTACCTCTCAGCCTGTGTTGGGTTGAGACCATTAATCAACACCAGGCTTTTGGTAGAGTGAAATACCCGATCAAAGGCGGAGGAGAGGTTTGAAATGTATCACCAAATGGCGTCAATGATAAAAGCACTTGAGCTTGGGGTTCTCACTGAAATTGGGATGGAATCCTATAAAGTATACATTTGGACAGCCTAACAACTCATAAAATATGTGTACAGCTGATGAAGATGGAGGCAATAATCATAATGATTGATCATGTAGCTCTAACCCTACCAGTTGGCCTATTTCCGTTCCAGACTATTTGTTCGAGGTAACAATGCTGCTGAAAACAACTTCCGTGAGTCATAGTGGACCAAATTAATTTCGTACAAAATCTAATGTTGCAGAAAATACAGGAGATGGAGGAAAGGAGGATAGTGCGAATCGGGGACTCAATGAAGACCTATGCGGAGGTGGACCGGCAGGTGATTCCGATCATTGGGAAATGCTTGGATGAAATAGTAAAGGCAGCCGAATCCATCGATCAGAAGAATGTAAGTATTGTAGTTTGGACTTAATTTACAACGAAGGACTTCTGGTTCCATTATTTCTTTGCCGCCATCCACAGTGACCTCACTGAGTCATCTCGAGATGGGTAGTTGCTTCCAGTGCTCACGAGTACTTTGCAGCAGTGGTAACACCACTTTTGAGTGTTCTGTTCAACTCTCAGTGTTTTGGATTTAGCTCTCAAATTTCTTTTCCAGAAAACACAGGTAAGTCTGAGACATTGCAGAATTAAATTGTTTTCCTGTCAGTTGGCTGAGTAACTCCCCACATCGGGATCTGGTTCTTTAGGTCACTTGACATTTTGCAGGTCAGATAATTCTTTATTCCAGGGCACAATCGTCTGTCTGAGAACACTACTCAGGGCCAGTGTCATTCATTTGGATTACTTTCCTAGAAACCTATTTCCCTCAACAAAATAATCAACTAGGATACCAGCATAGGCTTTTACAAACATCTGTTAATTTGCAAAACCAAATATTTAACAAAAAGCGATGTCATAACATAAAACAACAGTTTTATCTGGGAAATTGTGAGCACCCTAGATTTATAGGATATTTCTCCCATTATGGGAGCCTTGTTTTCCCATTTTATCCCTGATCATTCTTTTTCACCTATGACTTTTATGTTGCTAAATCCAAGGGTCTTTTCTAAGTCTTCATTCAAGTTATTTTTGTTGTTGTTGTTTTAAAGATTTTATTTATTTTATTTATTTGGCAGAGAGAGAGCAGGAGAGCACAAGCAGTGGGAGCAGCAGAGGGAGAGGGAAAAACAGGCCAGGCCCCCTGTCGAGCAGGGACCCTGATGCGTGGCTCGATCCCAGGACCCTGGGATCATGACCTGAGCCGAAGGCAGTCACTTAACCAACTGAGCCGCCCAGGTGCCCCTTCATTCAAGTTCTTATCCAAGAATTTGAACTCTTAGCAGCACCGGCCCCCACTTGACCACCCTCCTATCTGCTGTTCCTTCACTTGATTCCCAGAAAACCATACTGTGATGGCTTTTCTCCTCACTGACTCAGTCTCCTTTGCTTGTTCTTGTTTTCCTTCTTCGTACCATTTAACTTGGGAGTACCCCTGGGCTTTGATCTTGGACCTGTGTACTCTCCACATTTGCTCCTTAGAGTGATCCATAGACTCTTGGAGCGTTAAGTCCCATCTCAACTCTGAATCACACATGTTACATTCCCAGCCTGGACCTGTCCCTTCCACGGCAGGTTCATACACTCAGCTGCCAAGTGGCTTCTCCACTTGGATGTCTACGTTCCTCAAGCTTAACATATCCAAAATGGAGCTCCCAATCTGTCTTGCCAAACCTGCACCTCCTTTAGTCTTCATTCTCTCTGTCATGGCATTTTCATCCTTCCAGTTGCATGGATCTTGGAGTCATCTTTGATACCCTCTTTTTCTGACACCTGCATCAATGTGTCAGCCAATCCTGTTGGCTTCACCTCCAAAATACATTCAGAATCCACACAGCCCTCACCACCTCTATTGTTACCCTCCTGATCCAAGATCTCCATCCAGTTGGATTGTGCAGGAAGAGCCTGGATTACTGCAGGAGATGTCTAATGTCTCCCCACCTTTGCTCCCCACCCCATTCTTAACACAGAGACCAGAGGTGTTCTTTTACAGTAAGTCAGGTCACGTGTCTCCTCTGCTCAGAGCCCTCCGTGGGCTTCTGTCTTACAGGAAAAGTCAAAGCCACTGTGGCCTCAAAGTCCTAAACTATCTGGAATACCCTCCCTCCCCATTTATCTGTCTGACGTCACCTATTCTGTATTCTCCCCAGTGCTGTAGCCACAATGGCCGGCCTCCTATTCCTCAAAAACTCCCAACTATGCTCCTACCGTGCTGTTCCTTTGCCTGGAATATTCTCCCCATAGATATCTGCCTGGCTCACTCCCTCAGCCTCCTTCAGGGGTTTACCTGAATGAATGTTTCATTTTGCTCTTTTTTGAGAATTCAAGGGTCAGATATTTCTTAATCCATACAGATCCTCCTTCTGGAACATTCCCTTCCTCTTTCCGAACATCCCTGCTCTGTTCTCGTGGTGCATCTCAAGTTTATCTTCTCTTGCAGATTTGGCTCCTAGCAAAGTTATTGTGGTCTTGCTGCTTTGATCTTTGCTATTTTTATTCTAGTTTTCCTTTGATCACACATGTTCTTTATCTCCGCCTCTTCGTGTTTAGTTACTGGCATGTCCTCCTTCAAAATTTTCATTTTGAGAAACATTGATTGTAATTTTATGAAATGGTTCCCTGACCATTTACTGAACACCTCCTTCCTTCCATGCGTGGCGTGCTCACCACGACCCGCTGAGGAGGACCTCGAATTCCGAGAGGTTGCAGCCCTGCCCAGGGCCACATAGTGAATGTGTCCATCTGGTTCCAAACCCATGTTCTTCCCTTAAGCCCCCCCCCCGCCCCCCCCCCGCCACCTTGTGCTTTTTATTTCTAAAGCAAGCACTGTTTCTGGCACATGTTTGAATCTGCTCACTCACAAGTGCCAGGCACAGCCCTGAAAACAGAGATGGACAGTAACAAAATAAATGAGAACCTTATTTAGGGTGTTAAAACAGGATGAGCATTTGGGGGAAAATGAGGTAGGAAAGGATGCTAGGAGGTGCCCGAGGGGGTGGAGCTGGCTATTACACCAGGAAGTTACATTGTGCAAAGACTTGTGCAAGACTTGTGCAAAGAGGTGATTGAATAATTATTTAAATGGGATAGGAGGACAGAAAGCTACCAGCTCTGTTAGCCCCTCCTCCAACAAACTGGATGTCCCCTCTCCCCTTAAAGCAGACTCAGAATCACATGATTACTTAGAAATTCAAACTGGTTTATTTATGTATGGTTAATTTCCATTTATATCAAATGACCGTGTTTTCGGGGCGCCTGGGTGGCTCAGTTGGTTAAGCGACTGCCTTCGGCTCAGGTCATGATCCTGGAGTTCCGGGATCGAGTCCGCATCGGGCTCCCTGCTCAGCAGGGAGTCTGCTTCTCCCTCTGACCCTCCCCTCTCTCATGCTCTCTCTCTCATTCTCTCTCTCTCAAATAAATAAATAAAATCTTAAAAAAAAAAATGACCGTGTTTTCATTAGAGCACATCAGTGAGTCACTGGCACACCTGGGCTTATAGATCTGCATCTGCTCGCATACGTTTAACTGCATGTAACAAGAACAGTAGTGTCTTACACAAGGCGATTTGTTTTTCCTCTCACATAAAAAATGTCTGCAGGCAGAGGGTCCAGCCCTGGCATGGACAGACGGTCTGTAAGTTCTCAGGGACTCAGGCTCCTCCTAGTTCACAGCTTTTGATGATGTGACCTTCAAACTCAGTATGGCTTCTGGAGCTCCAGCCATCACATCCAAATTCCAGAAAGCAGAATATAGAGAAGGTCCCATGCCATCCCTTTAAAGAGTCTTCCTAAAATTACACACCATCCTGTCTACATCTCAGAGATCTCAGAGGTCAAAATTTAGGTGGCTACCTCCTGCTGCACAGAAGGCTGGGGAATGAAGCCTTTAGGTGAGTGGCAAGGTGCCCAACTTAAAATCAGGGTTCCTATTCCTAAGAAGGGAAGGTAGTTGGCTATTGGAAGACAATCAGCAGTCTGTGGTCCATCTACAAAGTAAGTAGTAGCTAAAATAGCTATGACATACCAAAATATGGGCTTGTATTAAGAATTGAGATCTTTCCAGGGATGCCTGGGTGGCTCAGTTGTTAAGTGTCTGCCTTCGGCTCAGGTCATGATCCCAGGGTCCTGAGATCAAGTCCCGCATCGGGCTCCCTGCTCAGTGGGGAGCCTGCTTCTCCCTCTCCCTCTGCTGCTCCCCCTGCTTGTGCTGTCTCTCTCTGACAAATAAATAAAATTTAAAAAAAAAAAAATTGAAATCTTTCCAGATTGTCGTCCTAGTGTTTTTTTTTAAGTCAGATGGTCATTGACTTCAAATGTTAACTACAAATCACATGTGCTTTTGTAATACTTTATGTATACATCTATCTCTCCTATCTATGACTTTATGGTTGTGATCGCCTTACACATTTGTCTGCACCACCTGACCCCAAGAAGATGTAGCACCCAAAGTTCCTAGCAGGGTGCACACCTTAGAGTAGGCGTTCAGTTCATTGATTTATTCAGCATTTATTGCACACAGTTCTCGCTGGGCACCATCTAGGTCTAGGGATACAGTAGAGGAAAAACAGACGAGAGCTAGCATGTGAGTGGGGAAGGGTCTATGAACAAATGCATCCATAAGGAAAAATCATGCAATGAATTAATATCCCTGAACCACAATGAACCAAAGAAGTGGGAGAGATTATCTACTCTTTGCTTTGACTTTCTGTATGCTAAACTACCTTAAGAACTCCTGGTGAGAACCAGACTTCTGTATTACTGTATTTTTCAAGGGAAATGCATAACAGTGGCCCATTTTTTTCTGCTTTTAGCAAAGTCCTTCTTACTTACTTAATATTTCTTTCTCCAGCTGCGGAAAAATGGTTATTGAGAATATCTTTCCATCTCAGCTAGGCGTATAGCTTTTTGAATAGTGCTTATTCTTTCTAATGATAAAAATATTACTAGAAAAAATCTGTTATTAATCAATATAGATAAAATTCTATAGATAACTGTAGAGATAGAACTCTTTACAATAGCATCTGTATGAAGCCATCAAAATTCGTTGTGTCAAAAGTATTTGCATGTGTTTGAACGCATTCGTGTTTGATGGGTGTAATTTCAGGATTCCCAGCTGGTAATAGAAGCTTATAAGTCCGGGTTTGAGCCTCCCGGGGACATTGAATTTGAGGATTACACTCAACCGATGAAACGCACCGTGTCAGATAACAGCCTTTCGAATTCCCGAGGAGAAGGCAAACCAGAGCTCAAGTTTGGTGGCAAATCCAAAGGAAAGTTATGGCCTTTCATCAAAAAAAATAAGGTACTGATGGTTGGACCAGTGTGAAATAAGTTTTATCAAGTGTGGAGATTTTGACTTTCTCTGTTAGTCTTAAAAAACAAAACAAAACTTAAGAATGTAAGCCTGTAGTTCACAGAATGCAAAAAAAAGAGCTAGAATGCTATTTTATTTTAAACCATGATTTCTCTTTGGTGGTGGTCCCTTTGCCATGGCCATTTGTCTTATTTCAGATGCATTGCCACCTGACTCGTGTCACCCACACTAACACTGACCTCTACTGACCTCTCGGCCATTCCCCATCATGCCTTTCACTGCTAAGTCCGCTAGCCACCTGGTCCCCTCGGCTGGGAGAGAGGGCACTGCGCAGGATTTCTCTAACAATTTATCAGCAGCTCTGATTGAAATCGTTTCCACGGGTTAATAGCTTGGTTTTTGAATTCATATTAACATGTACCTCCATGAACATTTTGCGTTTTCTTTTGGTAGCGTGGTACGTAGGTGCATGACAGTGTTAACCTGGGCGTCACATTACTGCGCTCTCCTGAGAATAACTGCATATTTAATTTTTCAAAGACTGTCTTGCTGTTTTGACAACCTTGGCATCTAAGGTCCTTTACGTCCTCTCATCAAGCTCTGGTGGTTTAGATGGTTTAGAAATCTTTACCCCTCTGGCCTTAACTGGTTTAGCGTAACTAATCGGAAATGTAGTTTGCATGTGAGAGTCTGCATGAGCTTCTTGTCAGAGATTTCTTGCTCTTCTTCCATTGCTTTACTTACTAAAACCTCCACTTTTTGTCATATTCTACATGTTTTCTTTTGGACCATGGCCTAAATATTTAATCGTTTGTGTTTTACTTGCTTTGGATTTCAAATATTATTTGATGCTTATTTTTGTTTTGTGTCTTATCTTCTTGTTTCTGATTTTACTCTGTCACTGCTCCATCTTACATGTAGCTTATGTCCCTTTTAACATCCCCCCATCAGCCTCCCCCTCCTCCCCCTGCCTCTGCCTCACCCTCTGCTGTTCCCAACGGCCCCCAGTCTCCCAAGCAGCAAAAGGAACCCCTCTCCCATCGCTTCAACGAGTTCATGACCTCCAAACCCAAAATCCACTGCTTCAGGAGCCTAAAGCGTGGGGTAAGTTCTGCTCTGGAATCCCGTCTCTCTCGTGCGCTCTGGGTGCATGTGTCGTTCTGCATGACTTATTTTGTTTGTGAATGAATCCATTGTGTTTTCCCATAACACGAAACAGTAAGGACCTGGGATTCACCATAGCTAGAAAGAAGAACCACGATAGGAGGAGGAGAGAAGAAAGAAGGAAGTAGAATGGATGGAAAGAAGAAGAGAAAGCCGGCCGGCCGGCCCAGACTCCTTTTGGTCTTGAGCACATTTTAGAAAGTCTTTTCTCTACTTCTCTTTTAAAACCTCTCAGTCATTAATATTCTACCTCGATTTTACCAAAACAGGAAGCTTAGATTCATTTTCCAAAGCCAGCGACATCTGAGATGAGGAATTGGAGGTCACTGTAGACTCAGAAAGTATTTGCTTGATAATTACTGAAACAATGTGAGTGTCACGAAGATACTTCTCTCTGAGCTAAGCTTCGGGGTTCAAAGGGGAGATGGCACGAGGTTACAGTGGTTTCTTTAGCTGTGTTGGTGAACTTATAAGATGGTGATGAAATATCTGTTGGCTGGAAGAGACCTAATGCCGGATTTATCTTTAGAAGCTGAGATAATAAGCAACTGACATTTATTGAGCACTTACCATGTACCAGACTCTGTTCCATGGGATCATTTACTTTTCTTCAACTGCCCTATGAGCCTAGGTGCTATGACATCTTTATTTTACTGATAAGAAAACTGAGGCCTAAAAAGATGAAGTTAGGAAGAGGTAAAGCTCATTGTCTGAGGTTCTGTGATGTCCACACTCGGGGAGCATCTGTTATAATATGGTTGACTCACGAGTGGATGTCCTTTAGATAGATCCCAGCTTGCCATTCGAATTAGGATCACCTGTGCCAAATTCACAGTTTTGTGCGATTGATCCCGTAACCAAAAGGAGTTACCAGTTTGGTTTACAGTAAAAGATTGGAACAAAGTCATTTGGAGCCTCCCAAATAAATCGAACTGATCAGTGTAGTCTAAGCCATCCCCAGATATCCTGTATAATGAATAATGAGGCATGGCGACCAAAGATAAACAGACATGTGTGCCCAGCAAGGTCTTTTATCCAGACCTGTGGGGACTGCAATACAGTGGTCGTGGGGTGTGTTCTTGGACAAACATAATTTTTACTCTTCCCTTCCTTTGGGTAAGAAAGAGGGTAAATGTGTAATAGCTGTGACTAAAACAAGGTGAGGCACATATACTAAAATTGGAACAATCCAGAGATTAGCACGGCCCCTCAGCATGGATGACATGCAAATTCGCGAAGCGTTCCGTATTTTAAAAATAAGTGAATAAATAGAATGAAGTACAGCCCCCCAACTCTTTATATGCAGAGTTCCTTTAATAAGGGAATCTCAACATTTTATGCAAAGAATACATATAGTTGACGAAATGATCTTGTCTTAAGGTTTCCCAGCATATCAGGTTAAGAATTAGAAATATAATTTCCTCAAGGTTTCAAGAGAGCCATTGTTAGAAGGCAGAGTGTAGCTTCAGAAGTGGATGATGGATCGCGTTGAGCTCTATAATTAGATCTCAGTTCCTGGCTCAGTCAGGCTGGCTTTTAAAACTCCCCGTCCATCCCGCTTGCTCATGGAAGAATTTCCAACATCTGGCCAGGGTGTTTTTGTGACATTATAAAGTTTCATGTTAACTGTAAGTCGGTTAACCCATCTCTCTGCCACTTGAAAAACCATTACAGAGCACTCATTTATTATATTTCTAATAAGCACCTCTGCATGGTCTTTTGGAATCTCACGCAGAGTATGCTGAATATTTGTGATTGTTTACCATTTGTTTCTGTGTCCGTTCCATTCTCTCAACACTACACAGTCTGTTGGGGTTGCAAATGGTTTTCCCGAATCTGTGTTTCATGATGTTCTCTAAATGTTGAGGAAAAGACCAAAGAATGTCAGTAATCAATAAGTGTGCAGGAAAGATGGCTAAGAAAAATATAACCCTTCAGAACCAGTGAAATGAGAAACAAGTTATTATGATTGAGGAAAATCCCTCTTTTAAAAATTATAATTAACAAAGTGAATTTTATTTCTTACTCTTTAAATCTGTGCTCAGCAAAAACTCAGTCAAAAATTTTTTTTCTCAACGCTTTGTTTTCCTGAGAGTTAACACACACACGTACACATTCTAGAAGAATTAGTAAATAAATAGAAACACATTTCTGCTTCCTTCGTTTTGGGTCAGCCTGTTCTTAGTGAGGGTCAGATTTGAGGTCCCTTCCTTCAGGAAGTAGAAGTGAACAAAAAAGAAAGGAAAAAAAAAAGAAAGAAAGGAAATGCATCACAGAAGTAAAATTAGGAAGTTCAAAAATAAAAAACCAATCTGAAGTTTGGGGAAATAAATTTGATCTTAAAGCAATCTCAACCCAGAAGGCACACGGGTTACGGGGCCCATGATGAGAATGATACTCTCCTTGTATTTCCTTTATTCTTCCTTTTTAACTTTAAGACTATTGTGCCAAAGATAGGAAGAGTGTCCTAGAATAATAGATCTGTGATTTTAACACATCTTTTAATTTATTGTGTTTTGCAGCTTTCAGATCCAGATTTCAATCCTTTGTTCCTATTATCTGAGTGTGTAAATCCTATGCAGACATTTCTTAGCATAGGCGATTTTGTGTCTAAATAATTAACCAGGATAAAATGTTTTTTTGTTGTGCGTCATTGGCATCTGTAAGAAAATTGTTTCACTGAACATTTCTAAAATATGCCACCTGAGCATTATTAACCATTTTCTCATCTTTACCTAAGTCAGGGAAAAATGAAACTAGATAGTATGGTCTCGGTTTGCAATTTACAAATGTAATTTTGTTGTCTTAAATTAAGATTTCTCTTTCTGGTCTGGGCAAGGGCCTTCTAAATCTAAAATACGGACCTAGTTCCCCCGTGTTTTAGAGTTCATTGCATGGAAAAATCCCACCGGAGTTGATCAGAAGGTTTGGAAAACCCTTACCGATTGTTTGTCAGATGTTACAATTTCATGGTTACTTTAATTTTATTTATTTTATCTTGTTCTCTTGCTGATTATTGGCAGACTCAGTCTTTCAGTTTTCACAAAGAACTCATGAAGAGGACGATAGGGAAACCCACGTATGCTTTTGAAGCTAGGGACTATGTTGTAAGTTTACCTGGGACGGCCAGGGCATACAGTCATGGCACAGGTACCAACCCCTATGACAGCACCAAGACTGGGGACTCGGCAATGAAATTCCCCACTGGGAGACCTGGACAGGGGAAGGGCCTCATTATTTGTATAAATTCAACCCCAAGCTACTTTATCTGGAAAGCTTGGGTGGGAAGAGGAACCCAACTTCCCAAGAACAGCCAAGCTGCCTCAAAATGCCAATGGACCGAGCTTGGCTCTGCTCCCCCCCTTCGCTGATTGTGACTGCCGTCTCAGATGTCAGTGGGTGTGATTTTACGATGGGTGTGAATCTCACCCATAAACGCAGCTGCAGAGCGTGGTGCCCGGAGAAGGACACTCTTACACACGGCAGTTGTGTAACTCGTACGAGGACCCACATCCCTGTTTGAAAGAGGTGGATCTGTCGGGGGTTATGCCATGACGCTTGGAGAACCAAAACAATCACTGGGGCGTGAGCAAGGTCATAGTCACGTGACTTCCCACGGCCCTTGATTAAACACAGTTACTCGGATATTTATTTTCACTGTCCCCTTTCTTCGTACTTGAGGTTAGTACCTGTGACTGTGCAGTAACACATGGATCCGCTGGCTCTGTGACCCCCTCATGTGTTATTGACATGTGTGGCCCCCAAGCCTCTATACTTGTTGCCTGAAACTGACAGCTTTTTAGCTCCTCGGATGTCTCGCAATGCACTTAATGCAGTCTTTACAAGTATTCTCTTAAATGATTCGGTTCCTAATGTTAAATGATCTAACTGGCGGGCTTACAACTTAAGACCGAAAACCGGTGTATGATCGTTACAAGAATACCACGTCCCGTGATGGTGCTTCTTGTAGATGACCCATTGCTGTCCACTCCAGAACATTGAATCTGTCTTGAAAATCTGGTATTTCCTATGGGTCCTCAGATTTATTTGCAATCCTAATGACTCGTTTTTTTTATTATGAAGTGGTAATATTCCTACGCTATTAGTTTTGATGTTAGAATGCTTCTTTTGGAACGCTTAAGAAAGAATATATAATTGATATATGCATATAGGTAAAGGAAGTTAGCTGAATAGAGAACAGGTAGTATGTGGAGTTCAAACATCAGGTCTTTGAATTAGCCATATTTAGACAATAATGTGTGAGAAAACATTTGTAGGGGGTAGTGTGCTTTGTAGGGAAGATATTTGCAAAGTTTTCTGCTGTGCACCCTGAGTGTTGTCTGTAAAGAACTCAAGTCGTGACAAACCGATCTGTGCTAAAGCTCACAGGAGGGGCCCACAAGAATAGTCAGGAGTGTGCATGTACGTACCTCATTCTCCCAAAATTTTGTCTTGCTGCTTCTTTCCTTAAAGTCTTTTTCCCCATAGGGGTGATTTCTTTAAAAGCTGAATGCCTCTTTAAAAAGAAGTGTCCATTTTGAGTTCATAAGAATAAGATTTTTAAAATCTGGTTAAGGAATTTTTAACACCCTGCACTCTCGATTTAAAATCAGAGGGCGCTTTCTTTGGTACTTTGTCTCCAACATATTTTTGATCCTGCTGCAGCTGCCTGAACTTTTAGGATTGACGACAGCTAAGTAAAAATGCACCGCGCTCTCAAAACACTGCTTTCCAGCCATAGAGCATGTCTCACCTGTTAACGAAGAGCCACATGTTTCTTTTTTTCCAATTTGGAGATGCCTTTTAATCTGTTTTGTGCCCAGTAATCGCTCTACCTTCGCTAATCTCCAAGTGCAGCAAAATTGCACCAGCTGTCTCCTGATAATTGATTGTCAGGAAACCCATAGCAAGGAGTACCCCCGGGTAGTTGAGATCATTGGCTCTCTGTTTCCTAACAGTAACTTTCAGGGCAGCTACTCCTGTTAGTTCCCCAAGTGCTGTGTAAGCCCCGTGGGTAGGGCTCAGAGTGGATGGAGAGCCCCGGAATACACCTCCCACCGTTCCGGGGCATGGTTAGCGGTGCCAGAGCGTCGTCCTGCCTCCAGCCTGGTGCAGAGAGGCTTTCGGGATCCTGCAAATGGTTTCCTAGAGCAACTTCCAGCCCCTAGTTACCCGTTCACCCATTCAAGAGTTTGCCTCATGCCTTCGAGAAATGCCAGTGTTCGCATTTATAAGAATTCCTTAAGATAAATACATTACCTGTACGTTGTGGAAGTAATTGCTCTTGAGACGCCCCCTATAAGTAAAACTCTCCATGTGAAATGTGGTGAACAAAAGGCAATGTGATTCTTTTTGTCTTTTATTATCAGCATGTGTCACCACCTGCAAACTTATTTTAGCTTATATCCAGGCTGATGGGATCCACACAGAACTGCGAACAGAAACTCTCCTTTTCTATCTTTATTCTTTGGTCTGGCAACGTGGCAGCTAAAGGAAGGTTTTGGCAGGGGCCAGCCCCTCTTGTGAACGTTTGCACAGATCCGCTGCAAGTCATTTTCACAAGCGACAGGTGAATTTATGTGTTATGTTAATACGATGCAACTGACCAAATTCCTCCTCTTCTGATGTGTTGTCTCTCTCTCTTTTTTTCCCGTTACCTCTTCAATTTTTACGTGAAGCTTTCTCTCAAGCTGGTAAGCACCATTATTCTATGCATGTCCCGAATCTAATCAGGTATTTTGGTGTATGTTTCTCTTGCGTGTGCTTTTGTTGGTGTTTCTTCGTCAGACCTTTGCAATCCAAAGGTCCAGAATCTACGAGGGGCGATCTTAATCTTTTCAAGTTGCTAAGAAAATTAACGCTTAACTCATGATTTGGTTTCCTTTCTTATTGGGGCCTTAAGAGGAGGACAGATGTTAATAAACTTTATTTAAATGTGAGCATAAATATAAATATTCGATATTGGGGAGTTTATTTATTGGATCATTTGGAGTAAAAATAAATTTAACAGCTAAAGATGCTCCTCCCTGGGAGCCACAGAAGCAGATGAAAAACACGGAGAGCCTGAAGGAGACGTGCAGGAATGGTGCCAGTCTCAAACTCAGGTCCAAGGCAGCCTGCGAGAATCGCAACCAATGGGATCTTGAAGTTGCTACATAAATACGTGGGTGCCTTGTGCACAGCTGATTTAAGAAATCACAAGATGACTTTATGGACAGTGAAAAGAGCCTCCTAAGCCTTTCTAAAATAGTTTACTTAGTGTTCTGTGTTGTTCCTACCTAATTGCATAGCCCTAGTAAACAGACTAATCATTAAACTTATTAAAAGAAACTCTTAACTCTATAACCCCTAACAATACTTGAGATATGTGTAAGTTCTCAACACCACAGCTGAGAATGTCCTAAAATTATGGACAGTGATAAGCTGCAACAGTTCAACCAGGAATAAGGTCAGCTACTTTATGCACTGCTGTTGATGATGCAGGATAATAGTTTCTGGTTGTCCTTATGTACACATTTGTATGTGTATACATGGATACATATATGTGTGGGTATCCAGAATTTTTTCAACCTCAGTATCTGGCAACCAACCTGACCCTAGAGAAAACGAATATTTTATTAAATGGAACATTTCTTAGACTGTGAAATAAAATCCCCAGATGAGTCCTTAATTAAGGTCTCTACGAGAAGGAAAACATTCTAAATGTTTCAATGAACTGTGTTCGGTGGCAGCATAAATTTGGGAGAAACTGGATCAATTAAGTAGGAGTCTCTCAGGTACCGGGGTTTCTTCCTTGCCCTTTCTGTATTCTTTTGCTGAGGGGCTAGCAGCAAAAGATAATAGTATTAATAAATTGGGCGGTCTTTCTGTCTGAGATAGAAACCATTTGACCACCTGGTATTGAATTGTTGCTTTATACCATTACTTGGAAGCCAGTAAAAAAGTGAAGCGTTGCCTGGGGTGAAAAAAAAAGTGTAAACTCTCAAGAAGTAGCTCATGCTTGTGCTCTTGGGGGGAGATGCTCAGAAGCAAGCATTTACACACTTCTGTGTGTAAAACAAGGTCTTCCTAGAGGTTTAGCCACTTAAAATGTCCATATACGCGTTGACCCCCTCTTGCAAAACCAGCGCCACCTCTGGGGCCAGTCTCTTTCCAAACTGGGCCGCTCCAAAGATTTCAGAAAGTCTGCTCCGACTCAAAGCTAGAAATATAAATTCCTTCGTGGCAAAACGAATCATAGGTCAGAATATGGTTTAAAATAATCCAAGCCTTAATGGCCTTTTAAGGTACTTCCAGACACCTGACGCTCCTTTGGATCTAGAAGAAGCCGTGACCTGAATCTCCAAGGGCAATGCGAAGTTTGAGGCACAGTTCACGAGATTAGTTTCTAAATAACAATACAGAAACACAGACTACCTATTGAAAGGGACCTAATTCGTTCATGTATTATTTAATGGTTTTTAGTTCTCTTAAGTAATTAAATTTTTTGCTGTAGAGAGTATCTGTTAATAAGTCACAAGTGCTGTTTATACACTGAAACCTTACACCTGCTCACAGTCTACACCTGTGCCTATTTAAATGTTCGTGAATTGAAATCCAATAAAAACATAAAATTCAGTTCCACAGTTGCACTGGCCGTGTTTCAAATGCTCAGTAGCCATGTGTAGCTACCGTATCCACCAGTGCAGAGATGAGAACTTTTCCATTCTTTGTAGAAAATTTCTTTGGGGCTCCTAGCCCGTCGTTAGGCTTAAGAACTATTGATGAATTAACAGCGCTCCCTGGATTTCCTGGCTTCTGAAGAAGCGCGTCTTTTGTTTTGTTGCATTCCAGCACCTAAAAACAAAACAAAACAATCCCCTCAATTTTGGAAAACATGCTGTGATTTAAGTAAAATCAGCATGAATACAAGGTATTGTGCTTTCAGGCGTGGTGACGGAGCTGAGCAAAGGGAAAAGCACAAGATTCAGGTTCCAAGTATTCCAACACGATAATCGCATAGGGGAGAGAAAAAACAAGCCTGATTTATTTCTATCCTGAAGATGAGTTCGGTTCATCTAAGCTTTAGAGGCAACTGAGCTTGCTTGGCTTGCCATGAGGGACTAGCCACTTCTGTTCTGGTTCCACTCATCTCCTCCTCTCTTTCTCTTACGCACGGGCACGCGCACACACGCACGCACGAGTCTAAGAACATCAGCGGAAAGGCCTGTGCGTGGCCTTCGGGTAAACTCTGCTGCCTCACACGCTCCCAGCACAGCCCCGGCATTCTGTCCTAAGCAGCCAAAGAACCTCGGTCACAAGCACCATGTCAGCTGCTTGGCAAATTCAGCTCAGTTTTGGAATTACATTACCCGGGTCCTCTCTCCCACCCACGCTCCCAAGCCAGCCTGTTTCATTGGTTCGAAAGTAAAAGCCCTCCTAAAATTCCTTGGCTTTCTCCCTGGCGATTGAATACATTTCTCTTTCTTTATGAAAATCGCTTCATTGAAGCAAAGGCACTTGATCACCAACAGCTTTAGCCGCGGCTTCTGACACGTAAGCATCTGCAGGAGTCTGGAAGCTCGCTGTTGATGTGTTCTACTGAAATCGCCTGCACCGAGGAAAGCTACTAATTGTTTCTGAAAGGGGATCAAGATATCAAAATAGGCTCCTTCTGCTGGATTGGAAACAGCTGGCTTGGATTTCGGGCGCTGGGAAGTTGGTGTGGAGGTCGGGGAGCACATTCTATGTGGATTTGCTGAGGTCACCCCTACAGATGTCAAAAAGGAGTGACCAGATTTTGAGAGGCCATGGAGGGGAGAGTGCAGGGGGGAGCCGTGGAGGGGAGAGAGGGGGAGGATAGATGTTTTAATGTCCTTCCCCCCCACCACATTCTCTGAGGAACCAGATGTCCCATCTGTCACTTGGTGGGGATGGAAACTTTTGGCCTCAGCCTGTGTGGCGAAGTGGAAAGACTCAGAGTAGGGAGTAAAACAGTGCCTTCGACATGAGACAGTTGATGATGGGGGTACTTGTCCCTGTGTTGTGTGAGGGAGCAGAAACCTCAAACTTCCTTCACACTCCAGTGTTGCCACCAACACTGACGGTCAAGTGAAGAATCTGCCTCAGAATTTGTTTTTCATCGATTCTCGTCGGGGGGGGGGCAGAATTTTTTCTTCCCCTCCCTCCTCCTGCAGCCTTGCTCCTTGCCTTGGCGGAGGTGGTTTGGCCAGCAAGCCTGGACCCCGAACTGGTGTGTGGGACTTTTTTGCAGTTTGCATGCATTGATCTTGCATCTCAGCTGGGTGTCGTGGGAAAGAGCTTCCCTTTAGTTCATGAGAACACATGCAGACATCTGCATCCCCTGGTGTCTGGGGAATGTGTCCTGCGGGCTTCACTCGGTGTCTGTCCTCAAGGAGGAGCACCGGCTCATGCCTGTTTGCATTTGCAGGGCGCCACGCCAGAGGATTTCAGCAACCTCCCGCCCGAGCAGAGAAGGAAAAAGCTGCAGCAGAAGGTCGATGAACTAAATAAAGAAATTCAAAAGGAGATGGATCAAAGGTAGAGTGGAGCAATACTACTTATTTAGAAATTCAGGTTCAGTGTGGAAAGATGGGAAATCCTAAAATAGCTTCAAGAGAAGTGATTATTTCAGCCGTGTGTTTTTTTTCATGGAGGGTCTACTGGATGGCTTCATTACAGATCAGGAGAATTCTTTTAACAAATAGGTTTTACTCTCAGTTTGGAGAACAAAATACATTTGGCTATCTTTTTTTCTTTCTGTATTTCTGTACTTCTTTTTTTAAGTTTTTATTTCTCTTTAAGTTTTAAATTTTAATTCCAGTTATATTAGTTTCAGGTGTACAATATGGTGGTTCAACACTTCTATACATGACTCGGTATTCGTTACGATAAGTGTCCCCTTAGTCTCCTTCACCTGTTTCACTCATCCCCCACCCTCTTCTTTTTTTTTTAATCTTACGTATGTAGCTGAGTTTTTTGTACAAATGAGGAAGAGATACGTGGTGTGAATCCTGCCCCCTTCCCTTGCCCCACGTTCTAGCTTTGGGTCTAAAATGTCCTTGTCTTTCTATTTGAGGATAAGTGACAGTAAACCTTCCCAGAGGTTCTCGTGTCTCCTTATCTTGTTATAGAGCATACTGATTGTGTCTAGAAAACAGATCATAGTATGTCTTATTACACACACACCACCAGCCATCAGAGGTATGTTTGCCTGCTCTTGAGAAGCTTCTGCATCAGGATCCCACCGCTGGGGTTCCCGGTTTTCTGAGCTGTTTTGTAAGTTTGATCCCAGGATGGTATATATGCAAAAAATAATAAGAAAAGATTTGATATCCCTTCATTTGTGCCTCCCTTCCCACATTTATAACCTGTAGGTCTTTTCTGTCACTTAGAGGGTTACTTGCTAATGAATCTGATTGAAAAACCACTTTATTAATTGTCTCTCACCTTATAAATTCTCACTGAGTGAATTAGGTGAATCATTCATCTATTTGAGATTTTTCTAAAAGATAACTTGAGATTTTGTGCCCTGTACACAGGCCAAAAAGTGATTCTACATAAATTTAGTTATGGCGAAGCTGGGGTTAAAATTTGGTTATGCAGAAAGCCAACAAACAGACAAACAAAATTGGTGAGGCAGTACAGTTTAGTACACGGCAAAAGAAAAGTAGTTGCTTATTCGTTTACTTCTGGTAGAGCAACTCCTGAAAAATGGGTGGTTTTATTTATTTGTATTTTTTATTTTTTTAGAGCAAGAGAAATCATGTGGGGGGGTTAGAGAGGCAGAGGGAGAGAGAGACTCTCAAGCGGACTCCACACCCAGCGCAGTGCCTGATGCGGGGCTCAGTCCCACGACCCTGAGATCATGACCTGAGCCGAAATCAAGAGTCAGATGCTAAACCGACTGAGCCACCCAAGCGCCCCAAATGGGTAGTTTTATAAACCCTGTTACAGTGCATAACAAACAGCACATATAATTAACTTTGGTTTTGTTTTGTGTTAGAAATACACCTCATGAGATGAAAATTTTCTTTATCCTTTTTATTACATGTGGGACCATATATATAAAAAGGGTCATGCATGTATAAACCAGTTAAATCTCGGGGTGTTGAATAAGTAATATTCTGTATGGGAGTAAGAAGTTCTGGTTCGGGTATTTGAAACGACATTGAAGAAGGTCGTGGGCACTATTGTCCAATAGTTATACAGAAAAATTTCTCTGCCACTTGGGTTGTGGCCGTGGAAGCTGGTTAACCTTTTAAACCCTCACAGCGGCCTTGCTGGTAAGAAGGCAAATCCAGTTTAACCATTTACTTGATGACTGTTTATTGAGCATTTACTGTGTACAAGGAAGTATCCTAGACCCTGGGAATAAAGCGATGAACAAAACACATGAAAACCTCTGTTCTCATGCAACTTACATTTTGTACAAGAGGGACAAGGCGGGATAAATCAAAAGCACAAAGTGTGAGGGCAGATTTAAAACACCCTGGGGTTCAGGGGTGCCCGGCTGGCTCAGTCAGAGGAGTGTACGACTCTTGATCTCCAGGTTGTGGGTTCGAGCCCCACATGGCATACAGAGATGACTTAAATAAATAAAACTTAAAAATAAATTAATATACCCTGGGTTCAAACCTGGTTCCGCCTATTTCTGTTGCAGACTTTGGATAAGCTTCTTAACCTCTTCTTGATCTTAACCTTTTAACCTAACCTCGGTTTCCTCATCTTGAAAAGGAAGTCGATAGTGAGGATTAAATGTGTCAGTATATGGGAGGTGCTTGGACCAATGCCTGGCACATAGTGTCTATAAAATAAAATGAGTATGTTCAGTGTCAGCAGACTACATGTCCCAGTTAGATTTTCAGACTGAAAAACAAACAACCCAAAATCCACCTGTATGCTACCTACAAAAGGCACATCTAACTCATAAGGTATAAAAAAAATAACATACCTCATAAGGTATAGAAAGATTGAAAATAAAAGAATGGAAAAAGATACACCGTCCACTGGTTGGCCAGTGCCAGCCAAAGGAAGACTGACTTTCAAGCCAAAAAAAACCCTCAAACTATTAAGCTCAAGAAGGTCAACTTCATAACATTAAATGCTTTGAGTAACAAACAGCCCAGTTTAAAGCTGTAGGACCGTCTGATCTCAAAACGTAAAAAAAGGTTATGCTATTAACCCTTTGACATGAGTATGTACAAGAAATACAAACACATCGCTGTTGAGGAAGATGTTTAATGCACTTCTCTGAATAACTAGTAAAACAACAGATTCAGGGTAGAATATTTAAGTAATATAATTGACAAAATCGACCTCAGACATGTCTATCCAATAATTGCATGGTGCACATTCTTTTCAAGCACACACAGAGCATTTCCAACAATTGAGCATATCCTGTTTTCACAAAGCAAATCTCAACAAACATCCAAGGGTAGACACCATTCAAGGTGTGTTCTCTGAAGCCTGCAGTAAAGCTGGGTACCAATAACAAACATTTAGAAATTAAGAAATGTAGCTCTAGATAACTCAAAGACTAAAGAAGAAATCATAAGAGACAATAGAAACACATACCTGTACCCCTGAAACAAATAATACATTGTATGTTAAAAAAAAAGAAAAAAGAAAGAAAAAGAAACACACTGAAAGCACAATAAAGAGAAAAAAAAGAGACATTGGAAGATACCGGAGCAGAGCTAAACCTGAACCCACATTCTATACATCAGTTACTGGGCTGTCACTAAGGCAACACTCATAAAGGGAACGATAGAGCTTTCCATATGTATTAAAAACAGAAAAACACTAAACATCAGTGAGCTAAGTGTCCATCTCAAGAAGTTAGAAAAAGCACAGCAAATTGAACCAAAGAAAACAGAAGCAAGAAAAGAGTGTAAATTAGTGACATAGAAAAACATTTGCACTCAAGAAAGAGGATCAACAAATCCAAAAGTTGGTTCCTTGAAAAGATGAATAAAATTAAACTTCTGGAGAGACCTACCAGGAGAAGCAGGAGGAGGAGAATCAAAGGTAATGAATCTCGACAAGTCTTTCGAGAAGTTTTGCGGAGAGGTAGGACAGTAGCTCGAGGTATAGCCGTAAAGTCAGGAGAGGAATTTGGTAAAGGTAGACACTACAGTTTGTTTGTAGTAAGAGCATTTATTCATCTCAGATACTTACTGAGCATCTACTGCGTGCCACGTAGTGTCCCGCCGCTGGGGAGATACCAAGTTAACAAAAGAGCTTGAGCCCATAGAGCTTCCTCGGAGAGCTTCCATTCTAGTAGGAAGAGACCGACAATAAATAATAAGCATAATAAATTATATAATGTTGGAAAGTGATACCCGCTGTGGGAAAGAAGGAAGTGGAGAAAAGTCAGGGGACACGGGGAGTGCAGGTGGAGGGAGGGCTGTAGTGGAGATGGGACCTCAGGGGCCGTGAACAGTCAGTACCCACAAAGGAGCAGCAGGTCGGAAGGGCTCAGAAGGGCTCAGATGCGAGGGGGTGGGCCCAGGCCTGGTGAGGACTTGTGGAAATTCGCTTTCTGTTATTTCTGTATTTTCAGTTAAACTATTTCCCATGACTCAAAATAGGGTTTGGTTCATTGGTCTTATGTTGTATAACAGGTTGAGGCTGCCTTTTACTGATGCTCATTAAAATTGGCCCCTTACCACCTGCAGAGTCATTTGCTGTAAACTTTTAACACCTCGAACCCTACTGAAAGTCTCTCAGAACCGGAATTCAGAATTAATAGAGCTCTTTGGTCCCAGAGATAGCCCCAAGCTTGGCTGCAGCGCTCCTGTGGGGATTCATTTACTCAGGTTGCTATGGGCGGGCCGCCAACACGATTTCAGGAAGGGTGTGGGATCTTGGCGATATGTGGCTTTGAGACTCAGTTACCTGCCGGTCATGGATACCAACTGTGGGTTTGGTTTCTTAATAGTTGAAAGAGTGTGTAATAAAATTTCCAAAGCAGTTAACTGTGCTTCTCCGTGCGGGGAACTTATGGTAGCCCACAAGACCAGGATGCCAGCTGGAGCTTCAGTTTGCACGAAAAATGTGCGTCTGGATATTTGGGCTTTGTTTGTTTTTGTCGTTGTTTGGGGCAAAGGGAAGGACAGGATTGGTTTATGTTTCTCAGTTGCTGAGGGCAGTGGGAGGTACCAGATACCATTCAGAAAAGGCAACCGAAATTTTCATATCCATCTCTGGATTATACAGACCTCGGGAGCAGAATTCTTATGGAGTTTTAGGATGAAAGCCGGCCCCAATACTCCCTTCCAACCCACGTGGTGACACTGTCTTGCCATGCTCCCATTCACACGGCGTGCAAGGTGGTGGGAGAATACACTTGGCGGGTGACATTCACCTTTACAGTGTCCTGGTCCCTCTTTTTTTTTCAGAGATGCCATAACAAAAATGAAAGATGTTTACCTGAAGAATCCTCAGATGGGAGACCCAGCCAGTTTGGATCACAAACTAACCGAAGTCAGCCAAAATATAGAAAAACTGCGGCTAGAATCCCAGAAATTTGAGGTATGAAAACGCTGTGGGTGGTGAAAAGTTCTGATGGAAAAAAAAGAAACCGAGGAAGGGCTGGGGGTGCAAGAGATGCGGCTGGAGGGTGTCGGGGGGGCTTGGCAAGTTGTGATAAAAGGAAAAGTGGTCACCCACCGGCGGTTCTGCCCCTCGGCATGCCCTCTGCCCAGGATGTCCCCTAAAACCGACATGCACAGTTGTATTTGGATGCGTTGTTCTTTGGTTTAAGTGCTTCGCTTAGTCGGTCCTGTTCCAGCGCCTATTGACGAGTGTGCCATTGTGAATCCGGAAGTGAAAAAAAATCAAGTCAAATACGTTATGGTTCTTACAAAGGACCCATCATCAAAGGGTCATAGAGGTGACAACTGCTGAGAGACACAAATCAGAAATGAGTAGGAAAGATAAATAATAAATGTTTTAAGGAGGGAGAGAGAAGCACTCGAGAGCTATGGACAGAAGGCTTCTTTTACCCACAAATTTCGAGGCTACAGAACATGGAAAAATATATCAGTGACTGATCGCTCCAGTCGGAATTGGTTACTTCTAGCAACGAAGGGTCAGATATGGCTTTTTCAGATTCTTCCTAGAATCCGTCAGTCAGTTACTACCGTTGGAGGGTTTAGAACCTAGAAATGTTCTTTCCTGGTCATTGTTATCCTTTGGCCTTTTTTACGCTATTTCCAATGTTGCCCAAGATAATTTTATCTTTTATCTTATTTGATTTCCTGTATATACGTTTCTTTACTATTAAAAAGAGCGACACACTCCTCAAAACAAGAAAAGGTGAGTGCAGCTTTCACACTGAGTCATCGCTTACGTGCAGCAGGAGTCTCCTCTTCTCCAGTGGGAACCTCACGGTCACAGAATTTTGGAAGCAGAAGAAACTAGAAGCAACTTAACTGAAATCACACAGCTGTTTTAAAAAGCCCAAGAGTAGAGGGGCACCTGGGTGGCTCAGTCGGTTAAGCATCCGATGCTTGATCTCAGCTCAGGGCTTGATCTCATGGTTGTGAGTCCAGGCTCTGCATTGGGCTCCCCGCTGGGCATGGAGCCTACTTTAAAAAAAAAAGTTAAAAAAAGCCCAAGAGTCTAACACAGTCCAGTGCTCTTTCTGCCCCATTGTGACAGTTGCCTAAATACATTTGCTTCTACTTCTCCAATGTGAGATGCACTAGGAGCAGTTGCCTGTGGGTGCCTTATACAGCCGAATGCAGAGACACTAGAGACCTCCCCCCCGGTGTGGTCCTTCTCGAGTCTCAGCTTCAGTGACCATTGAGCCCCCCCGAATTTGGGGCCTTTAAGACTCCCTGGCTGGGCCCTCAGCTGAGCTCAGAGCAGCGTCTTTGGTGGCTTTTGCTTGCAGGCCTGGCTGGCGGAGGTGGAAGGCAGGCTGCCGGCACGCAGCGAGCAGGCCCGCCGGCAGAGTGGAATGTTCGACGCCCAGAACCCGGCCACGGTCAACAACTGTGCCCAGGACCGCGAGAGGTACAGTATCTGTACCACGCCTGCTGTCTGGAGGGGAGCAGGTTTGCTTTGCGCTCATGTCCCGATTCTGGAGGCTGGAGACGAGCGCGAGGCACTTGCTCCGTACCCGAGAGCCCAAGATGCCTGACCTGCCCTTTCCCCACCACGCGGGTCCCTAGTGCCGTGTGGGGCGGCGACGGAGCACACGGGTGACCTGCGATGGCCTTGGTGACAGCAGCCGGGGTGGGGCCGGTGCAAGCGTGTCGCCGGGCAGTCGCTATAGTTGCTGTGTGGTTTCCTTTCTTGAGCAGCCCGGATGGCAGTTACACGGAGGAGCAGAGTCAGGAGGGTGAGGGGAAGGTGCTGGCCACGGACTTCGATGACGAGTTTGATGAGGAGGAGCCCCTGCCCGCCATCGGGACCTGCAAAGCCCTCTACACGTTCGAAGGTGACCCGCGTCCGCCCGGTTCCCCGCTTGCGCACGCTGTCCCTTCTCCTGCTGTGATTGGACCTTCTTCCAGATCTTTCTCTCTTGTCTTACCCTATCGTTCTGCTCACCGTCGTCATCACCATCATTTGGTTCATGGCTGCACGTTTTGCCTGTTGGTCCGTACGATGGAACAGTTTTCGTGCGGCTTACTTGCAGCAGATAGCATGGAATAATGATGATTTCATCCATTCGTCCAGTATTTCTGGGAGCTCCTGTCTTGTAAAGCCCCCAGAGGGGTGGGATGCGGGTGGGTCGGCGTGGCATCCGCCCCTGGAGAGCAGACACACATTTGGGGGAGGTCAGCTGACAGCACTTACCAGAGGCGGGGTGCAGAGCGATGGCGGTTCATGGGGCTGCGAGCTCCCTCCCTTAAGAGAATTAATTCAGGGAACTCTCCAGGCTGCTCTGCATCTGAGGCAGGGAGGTGAACAAGGCATGGGCTCGTGTGGCTGGAGCTTAGATGTCTTAGGTGGGAGTAGTGGAATCTGAGACTAGGAATGGTGTCCTTGAGGGGGGAGGTGGGTAAGAATCGTTTGGGTTTTGGGGGGCACCAATTGAGCTGTTGAAAGCGTTTGAGCAGAGCTATACCTTAGGACACGTACTGGCACATGTGTGGGCCCCATCGGAGGACAGGGATGAGGGTTCGAAAGACTCGCCTAGAGTTGCCAGAACGATGTCCCGTAGAAAGATATTAAGGATGCTGTGGAAGAAGCAGTCCGAGCTCAGGTCGGTTTAGGAAGCTCTGGGACCGACGGATCTTCCAGATCTCCTCACGACAGACCACATGTTCAGTGGGACAGGAAAGCACCAGGTTCGACGTCGCCAACTTAACCTCATTCCCACGCCCCGGCCCCACCCCCACGGCCCCCCTGTAAGCAGCTCCCCGGACAGTCTGCCCTGGAGAATTCTGTGTGAGCAGTGGGGCGCTAGTCTTGGGCAGTTATCTTAGCAAGTGGTCTTGGGGACCCCCGTTATTAAAGAGTGGGCCCAGAGAGGTCGCAGTCAGCAAACCGCTCAGACCCCTGGCTGACTGGAAGCGGGAAACAAAGACGGGAGGAAAGGGAGCGGATTCCTGAAGGTGCCCTCCTGGGGCCGCCCTGAAGTGGAAAGGTAGGAGAAAGGTGTAGTTTGGGAAGAGACACAGCGAGGCCAGGTTTAGGAGCCAGGGCCGACGTTGGAAGTGGACACGTGTTTCGGGCCCAAGAAGGGGAAGCTTAGCTACTGGCAGGAACCGGGATGGGAGAGAGAGAAGTGGGGATAGTGTCCGAAAAGGTGTCATTAAGAGACAGAGGAAGGGCAAAGATGTCCCCTGGGGGAGCACCTGGCTCTGGAGTAGCTGGAGAAGGGTCCCAGAGAGCCGCGGGGGGGGGGGGCCTGGAAGCTTCTGCGTGGTGGGAGGAGCCCTTGCGGGGCAACCGGGGAGGGGTCCAGTGCATCTGTCGCTCGCCCGCTGCGCCTCTTTCATTGTCAAGCCCCCTGTTTGCGCTCCGCCTGGATGTGACGAGAAGCTGACTCATTCTGATCTTGCTTCTCCAGGTCAGAATGAAGGGACCATCTCCGTGGTTGAAGGAGAAACACTGTATGTGATCGAGGAAGACAAAGGCGACGGGTGGACCCGCATTCGGAGAAATGAAGATGAAGAGGGTTATGTCCCCACTTCGTACGTCGAAGTCTATTTGGACAAAAATGCCAAAGGTGCTAAGACTTATATTTAATACAACTTAAAAAAAAAAAAAAACTGTAAAAAAAAAATTGGAGTTGTCTCCCCACAACTATGACTGTTCCCAGCGGTTCTTCCAAAGCGTGGCTGGAGGACACTGGAGTGCGTGTTGTCACATGGCCACGCGGTGGGCTTGTAGGCGTTCGACACCCGAATTTCCTTGGCTAGTTTTGACTATAATCACGTTTCACTTGCTCATGAAATATGACACGGAAAGCTGCTAACTGCCAATTTACAATTCTGTCATTTGAAATCGGATAAACAGTTCTTCTGGCAGTATCTGTAGGTATCCAAAAAAAAAAAAAAGTTGCCTTCTAGCTTCTAATCGCTATTTCTGAATTTAAAAGTCTACGCACATCAGAGGGGTGGGTAGGACTTCAGTTCTGTTTCTATCTAGCAACTGCCGTAAATGGAACCCCCTTAGAGTGTTACATTTTGTAACTTAATAACTTGAACTACGCTAGTTTGTTTAATCTTACAATCATTTGCTTTGGAGGAAGTCATAAATAAAACCTCCCCCTCCTTGAGGAAAGAGTAAGACGCGTCCTATATTGGTACTAAACCTGTGTATTTTTCCTTAAACGTGTTTAAGATCATTGGTAGATCACCGTGATTATCCTCTCCCCTCCGCATGATCCCAGACAACCGACTGAAATCTGGAAAAGCTTGGTTAACAATTAACCAGTTGACTTTTACAGGAGACCACTGAGCTCCCCGCTGCCACTGACAGAGTCCATCAGATGCCCTGGCGCTGTTTCGATCACTTACAAAAAACAGCGTGCTGCTTTTGGAGGTTTTGTGGCAAGTGGAGCTGTTTTCAGCTCACACTTCCCCAGGTGGGGCTATAAATAGCAGCAGCTACTTCTACACACAGACCCCCCCCCCCAGCTCCTCACTTCGCGGAGGTGTTTTGGGTTTTTGGTTTTGTTTTTTTTTTTTTTTTAATCCTTGACATCTTTAAGACCCAAAATATGAATTTACTGAAAATCATTTTAGAATTGCTAGCTCGTTTTATATAATGAACTATAGCCAGACTAAAGTATTTCACCATCATGAAAAGGATCTGGGTCACATGGGGTTTTGCATTTTTAAATTGGCAACATAGGTAGTGAAATCGATCACATGCGTAGAGATGGGTACCCAGCCCAATGTGTGTGCCCATTTCAAGAATCTACCCTGAGGTCACGGAGAACCATCTATGAATGGCTCACAATAAAGGTGTCAAGTTCCAATTTACTTTTTATTTGGCTTTGAGAATTATTTATTTATGTCCTTCCTACTTTTAAATAGGAAATTAGCTCCTTGCCTTTACATCGTGAGCTCCTTTTTTAAGCTCAAGTCGATTTAAAGCTGATTCTACCAAAAAAAAAAAGCCGATTTAAAAATCAACAGCTGCTTATCATCGGGGTGTGGCACCTGGCTGGAGTTACAGGTGCTTCTTGTAGATTTAGCAGAAAGTTTGCTACATTCCCCAAGGACCACCAAAATGGAATTAAGTAAACGCTAATGACAGCCTGATTTTTAAAACACGTTTTATTGTTAAATGATAGATTGCCAGGAAGCTGTAAAGACAGTCCAGAGCCATCCCGTGTACGCCTCAGCCGGTGTCCCCCCAGTGGTGACTTCTGACGTAATGGCAGAATAATGCCCAAAGCAGGAAACTGACGTCGGTCCGCCCGCTTTTTAAAATATTTTGTGATTAAGAATTCTTTTGCTTTGTTCTACCTTTGCTGATGTAATATCGATAAAGCCATTCACCCTGGACCCCAGACCTCTCAGGAAAATCATTTCTGTTCCCCTTTTTAAATATTTACCGCAAGTAACTCGGTTGACCCTGAAACCACAGGGATTCCTCTTCACGAGCTAGGGGAGGTTACAGCACTAGGCATGGACCCAGGCGAACGGGGGACCTCAGATATTAAAATCAGAGCTTTCTGTCCGATGATGGGACTCATTTCCAGCCTGTGAACTGCTACAGGAAGCAAACCAAACACTGAAAAAGTCTTAAAATGGCTGAGACAACGTGAGCCTTTGGAAGCCTCCCTTGGAAAGTATGGCATTCCATGACGTTGTTGTGGGTTTATTTAGGTTTTTGGTTTTTTTGTTTTTTTCTTAACGGTTGTGCAAATTTGATTCAGAAAATGGCTCAGTTGGTTTATGGGGGGCGGGGGGGGCGTGTGTGGGTTTGGGCGTGTAATTGAATGCTCATGATTTTAAGCTGTGTGCCTCAGGCTCTTAGCACAGGCAGCTGCGGAGGAGGGACAGAACAAGTGTGCCTTGGTGCCCGCCGGTCAATGCACCGAGTATTAGGAGAAGTCCTGAAACCATTCCCAAAGAATCAGAATTCCCATTTCTGCCCAGAGTATACTCTGGTTTTTTCTACCCTCCCCCCACCCCTGGTTATCTGCTAAAATGAAAGAAGCCAAGTCTCGGCTTGCGGGTGAAGTTTTCTCCTTTTATTTTAGAGACACATTTAGAGGTTACTCGTGTATGCGTAGAAGCCTGTCTTCCCCACCTGGTTTCTCAGTCTGCTCGGCACCCCCAAGAACACTGCCCCCCCAACCCCTCCCAGCCCGTGGGGAACTCAAACAGCTGTTCTGTGCCCGTGCACGTGTGTGTGTGTGTGTGTGTGTTGTCATCTACAATGTGACTATTTAATAATTGCCAAAATATTTAGACTAGAGGAACGTCCAGTGGGTCAGTTGGATTGTGACTGTCTTCTTTTATGGTTCAGTTTGGTTTTTTAAATTGCTTTCTGTTAAATATGTCCGTAATCCCCCCACCCCCCATCTATTTGTATATACTGCCATTTAAAAACTAAAAGGTTGACTTGAATTCGTTGTTTTAACGTTTGACTCTTTTGTCTGTTTGTTTTATTGGTGCTTCTGCTGCCTAATGACCGTTTTTGTTTTTGTACCCGCTGGGGAAGCCGGAAGGACTAGGTCCCCTGCCGGCCACTCCAGACTTGAGTTTATTGTAGACACTTGTGTTCTGAGTAAGTTTTGTTCCAGTACGGCCAACACGATTGTCTCTCTCTTCTCACCCTGAAAGAAAAGAACCTGTCTGGCTCCTCTTAGTTGTACCCTCATATCTGCCTCTCTAATAAACGTATTTTTCTCAGTGTTGTGTATTTTAAATGATTTTTCACCTTTCCGAGAAAATGATTCTGTGTAATCCGGGCATTTAACTCTTTTGTCTTCAGTCATGGGGAACTTTTCCAGCCAAATGCTTTTTTAAAATTCTGCCCTCCCCCCCCCCCCCCCCCCCGCCTTTTAAATGATGACACTTCTCTGTCTCTCGCCCTGTGTGCACCTGAGGGCTTTACGAGTCTGTCTCTCCTTCCTCTCCTACCCCTTCCAGATGAAGAACTTTCACTGTTGATTGCTGAGTAGACGCTGAGTGACACGTTTTTCCTTTTCGCCAAGATTTTACTTTTTTTTTTTGTAAAGCACCGAGAGTGTCGGTCAGGGAGAGAATCGGGCCTTGAAATTCCTCGCATCCTCCTGGGAAGCGGGTCACGTTTCTTTCGGCCGAAACTCGGCGGACCCAGAAAGAGGGGCTGGGGGTGGATGGGCGCGGGTCTTCCGTGTGGGCCTCTCTTCCCTTCAGGGAAGGCCAGCCCCTGAGGCGACCTGAAACCGTGAAAGTTCCTTATCTCAGACGTGCCCCGTGGTAACACCCCACTGCTCTAAAGCTGTCCCCCTCCCGGGCGGCGCAGTCTACGGAGCAGACTGTCCGCCCCGGACCACCGGCCTCCCTCTAAACACTCTTTCTCTGTCTTTTTGTGTTGTAGATTCCTAGAGGCGGTTGCAGGAGCCGGAGCCTCAGTGAGCCTTCCCAGGAGAAACCCTTCGGTCTGCTTGTCTGCGCAGGCCCCAGGCACCCGCGCGCACAGATGGCTCCCGGGCTGGGCCAGCGCGCGGCCCTCCGACGACATCTCAGCCTGAAGCCGCACCCCCCCCCGACCCGCCACGCGGGTGCTTGCCTTTTTCTTTCTTTTCTTCCCACAGCATGCTTCTCATGGCCCTGCTCCCCCCACGGCCCATCCGGCCACCGCTCTGGGGGCAGTTCTGTCCCTGTCCCCCCACCCCCACCCCACCCAGGGCCACGGAAGGCAGCTAGACACGTGCTCCCTCCTTCCCGGGCCCCTGCCTCGGCCCTCAGTCTGCCTGGCGCATCCTGGCCCGTCCATGGTTCACACTGTGCCTTTCGTGAAAACTTCGCCACTGGTCTCCCCGGGCGAGACGAACAGAATCTGGACGAGGAGGGTCAGGCGTGCACCAGGCGGACTGAGCGAGCGCCCGGATGTCATGGATGGGTTCCCGCGTCCCGAGTCCGTTGACCCTTCGGTGGTCCTTTTCTGGTTAGGGGTCCTCACCTCATACTAAACATCGGCCCTTGCAACGTTTCCTGGCCTGACAGTGTCCGTGGGGGGCGCTGGGGGACACGCAGGCACGCACACGCAGGCATGCATCCCCGAGCGCGCACACGCACGTTTTGATTGGGAGCCTGTGCTCCGTGGCCTGGAGAGGTCTACACTGGAAGTCAAATTCCATCTCCAGGGCCACACGCAGAAGCGTCCACCTTTCACGGGTGAGGGAAGGTCCCAGCCCGCCTCCCTGCCGTCGCCCTGTGAATGGGAGCTGCGGGACGTGGCACTTGAGCGAGCGCCTCACCTCGGCCCTAGCTCCTTGCAAAGTGACAATTCCCCTCTTCCCGTGAATTCCTGAGATTCACATCTTCGGATTCTAGCGCTTTCCTCACCAAAGACCCTGTGAGGCCGGCGGTCCTTCAGGTGGTCCTGTGGCCACGGCTTCCGCATGTTCTCACGTGCTCCGCGGGCCACGGAGACTGGATGGAGTTGGCTTTTTGAGCGAAGTTCCCTTCCTCTTGCGGATCCTTGCGGAAAATGTGAGGCCGTGTAGCCCGTGGCCAGTCATGCCTTAGAGCAGCCTAGCTTCCCTTCTCTGGTGCAGACACGGTCAGGAGTCACTGGCTGCGAGTTTCTGTGAACGAGACACCATCCAAAGCCCAAGAAGGAAATCGGGCCCCTGTCTTCTCTCGTTTGGCTCTTGGTAACTAGGTGGTCACCTCGAACATCCTCAATTCTTCTCGACCTTTATGAATCTAAGACGAGGGTGTCTTATGGGAGCCGAAGGGACAGGGACAGAAAGGACAGGTGCTAAGGGCTGGGCCTGTGTTCAGTGGCCAAAACAGGGTTCCTCTCAGAAACCAGGGTTGAGCTCGACCACACACCCCCTTCCGAGAGAAACCTCCAGCAAGCAAATGCCTGGGGTAAGCAGGTGAAGAGGAAGTGGCTTTGGGTTTAAAGGCGAGCAAGCAAGTGAGCATGAGCCGCCCCCCTTCTGTCTCTCTGTCTCTGTCTCTGTCTCTGTCTCTCTCTTGCCCTGAAGGGGGCCAGGCCCTTCGGTTGAAGACTACCTGCCCAACTGCCGGGATGGCTGAGGCCGTGGGGGTCTCGGGGCTGCTCTGTTGGCAGCAGGCCTCCCTTCCCCACAGCGGTGGGGAGCTCCTCCACCTTGTGAGAGGGCTGCTTGCCAGATGCCCTGGGGCGAGGGGGGCCGGGCCTCCCCCGAGTCCCTGCAAACCTGCAGGTGTGTGGTTTGGCCGGGCAGTCCCAGCAGCTCCGCGGAGACTCCTCCGCCAGCCCCAGGGTGTGGGGGGTGGGTGGGGTCAGGAATCTCTAGGAACTTCTGAATCTCACCAAGCCAAGCTGACTGCTCTCCACAAGGATGCTGAATGGTTTTTTTAAATCGATTTTAGAGCCTCAGTAATGCATGTGCATTGCATCTTTCATATTCTGGGGTCAGGATAGATTGAGTTCTCACAACGTAGGGAAAATGGTATAAGCTGCAGTGATTTGTTCTTTTAGTGTCTGTTAAGCCCAATAGAGAATATGCTCGTATCTTGTAACCCCTGCACCTTTTTTTTTTTATTCCCTTCTGAACCACCTGCGTCCAGAAAGGAATGGATCCTAAGTGCTTCTCCGTGTTAGCCTTGGTGTCGCACCCCCCGCCCCCCGCCGCCCCCGGCGGGTCTGTGCGGCTGTGTGGGGAGGGGAGCGCTGCAAACCTGAGCTCATTCAAGGAGATAAGTCATTAGAGGGTAGTTGAGTTGTATCCTTTACTCTGGGGATCCTCCTGGGAAATCATCTCTATAGGAGTATGGACCAGTTCCCGGAGAGTAGGGGAACTTCCCCCATCTGCTTCTCGGCCCCCCGTTCGCCCCCCCGACGCCTGTCGTTTCTCCACCAATGCTAGAATAGTGTTGTTGTAAGAATGACTAAGTTTTAAAGCACCTGCCCTGAACATGACCTAAAAACGTTTTTCTGCTGGAAAGAGGAGAGGAACTTGTCATTCATCCAGTTTTTCCTTTGCAAGATTAAAAAAGGCATGGAAAGCTGTCGTGGGATTTTCCTTCGGGTTTTTAGCGCGCTCACCTCGGAAGCTTCCAGGCTGTGAGGCTCAGGCCAGATAAGCTGTAGCTTATCTCGCAGCACAGAGGCCCCCCGCAGGCCTTCTGGTGACATCTGTAATTACAGGAGAGAGTTTATGGAATGTGAAAAAGTGACATGGATGCTAAGTATTTTTCCAGAAATCTTAGTTTCATACTTCCTCATACCTCTGCCTCCCCGCACTGGTGCCGTCAAAACACTTCTTTAAAGAGTGATCCAAAATTCTATTTTAACCTGATGTTGAGCACCTTTAAACGTTTTGGTTTATTTGTGTGTGTGGCACTAATTCTAAACTTTGGAGGCATTTCAGTGTTGTAACGACCCCTGCCATTGTGAAGGTTCTGGAATTGCCCATTTGTCTCTGGAGATGGAATTAAACCAAATACAGTGCTTCCATTGGAAGGCTTATATTGACCTTGTAACTATATGTTAATCCTCTAAATGTTAAATAAAAGTATAACCTCTGTTATGTTGTCACGGGACTGTTTTGTGGCACGAAGAGGTGACCTCGGGCCCGGAAGCAGGCCGGGGCCGCTGGGTTGGGGCAGTGGGGGCGGCTGGGGCTGGGCCCGTGTGTACCTCACTGATTTACCGCGTGCACCCAGGACAAGTCACGTAGCCATCCGCTCTGGCGCACTTGCGACCTACTAGTTCTACCCACCACCCCACCTGCCGGAGGAAAAGCTGTCGGGGACGCTGAGGAGGGATTCAGGTCAGTTCAGTACAGGGACTTGGGGGGCTCCTTAGGAGCAGGAAATTTGTTTTCCATGCACATTCAGTGGGCAGCTACTCTAGGTCTTCAGGGCCCCTGTTGTGGGGGGTGGGGGTGCCAGGACCGCGGGGCATGTTGGCATTCTGTGGGCAGTCTGCTCTGGCAAGTGCTCGAGCCCACCCTCTTGGCAGCCTGGCTGCAGTAACCACGGGCTTGTGCAACACTGAAGCGGGGAGGACCCCAGCCTTCCCCCCCGCACCAGCCCAGGATGTGCGCAGCGGGAGGCCCCGTTTCCCTGCCAGCATGGAGAATCCCACCCCAGGCTTTGGGGGGAAGGTACAGTGGTTAGTGCCCACACCTTTTTAAGGTCCCTCAGAGCTGTTTTAGAACAGTCGGGAGGGAGGGAGGTCGCAGCAGAGTTGCTGAGGGGTGGGAGGTGAGGCCACCAATAAGAGGCCGGGCCTCACCTCGGCCTTCACCTCCTCCCCCAAACGGATGTGAGTGGCCTTCAAAAAAGCAAGAGCTCCTGACTCCGAAGGCAGCAGACCCGTCAGTCAGGCTCCCCCCCGTGGGCCTGGGAGACTCAGCAGGCCGCCCGGGGCGCGGGGGGGGGGCGGGGGGGTAGGACCAGGCCTCCGCGGCCTCTCCTGGCCTCAGGGGCACCGGCCACACCCAGGCCCCACGGCACGGCCGCACAGGCAATGGCGACCCCTAGCGGGAGAGGGGCCAGCACAGAGGGGAAGGACACCCCGTGTCGGGGACCAGGTGACCAAGAACACAATGGAAGCGGCTGAGCCGGGGGGGTGGGGGGGGTCAAGTGTCCCTCTTTTTTTTTTTTTAATTAAAGCAAAAGAGATCTCTGGAGTTGTTGGCCCCACGGGACAGCCCGGAGAGCCAACTCTGAATCGCTGCAGCCAAAGTGAGGCGCCGCAGGGCTGTGGGAGGGAAGGCCCCGAGGGCGGCTGGCCAGAGAAACGGCTGGCCTCCTAGCTCAGCGGGGCTAACGTCCCTGAGTCCTGGGCAGTGAGGAAGCCCTGTCCCTGGCCTCTGCTGTTCTTTTCTGAGAAGGGGAGGCAGCAAGCCTGTGGCCAGCACCCTCTGGGACCCGGGATTAAAATGCAAACCCGGCATTCAGCAGCCACTTTGTGAGCATCAGGAGCTGCTTCCCCCGAAGTGTACCCATGAGACCCTGGTTTTAGTGTTTACCTGTCCAGATGGTAGAGTGAGTGACTGTACTTAAAGACCTCCCATCCACTGGGGGCATTGCTGGGCCACAAAAGGTGGAGCAGAATCGGAGAAAGGCCCCCCTGTGCCTTTGTTCTCAGAGCTAAGGGGCTAAAAGCTGTGGGAGGAAACAATGGGGATCTCCTCATTCTCAGGCTGTTGGGCCCGGGAAGGAGACGGGCGGGGGGGGGGCGGTGAGGTGGGGCGGGAAGGATCCCGGGCAGCATTCTGCCCCCTCGGTGTGCACATCCTCCCCCTGGTGGCACCAGGCCGCGCCCTGTCCCCCCTCCCGGCTCCCCAGACACCACCTGGGCCAGGCTGCTCACTGGTCTCAGATCCAAGGAAGGGCTGGAGACGGCATCCTAACGCGGCCCTGGGACAGCTTTCCAGAACACACATGGTCTTACGGTGTGAGCTGCCCTTTTCATAGCTTCTCCTCAGGGGGTTCATCTCCTCTCTGCTGCAGGCAGAAGAGCCAGAGGGAGGTGTGATTCCAAAACCCCACTCGCTTCCCCTGAGGCTCTGTGGGGCTCAAAACGAGGTGGTGTAAGACTCACAGGATCATTTATGTTTGCACTGAATTCCAACTAGAACCAAGGTAGGAAGCTACACTTTTGGGGGGGCCTGCACCTTGCAAATGCACTTTCTGATGCGGGTTTGTGAGCAGAAGCGTGTGCGCAGGCAGCCACTGGCTCCCACGCTCCCCCGTCTGTGGGTAGAGGCTCT